CACTATGTGCTGGAATAAGGAAAAATATGGAAGCGAGGCAAAGTGATGTGCTGGTTTTGATTTCCACTTTTTTATGTTGTAGTAAATATATTCAGCAACTTACGGTACCATATCTCTTGCTTTGTTTGACCAACCATATCCATCTTCAAATGGATGTAATTGCGGAAAGCATATTCTCTACAAGGCTGGGTCTGTGGAGTCATTGTGACAGCTGGATGTTACCACATAGGGACAAATTTGAGATGAGGCAAAAGGATAACAATGGAGCTGCTGAGGGTGCAAGTTGAGATACTTGTGCAGGTGATCATAGTGTATGGTACGGTTGAGAGTGTGCTCAATCTCTAGCTCTATGCACCAACTCCTCTCCCATACGATTTGTAACGGAGATATTACGCGTTCCACCCTCCTCTCCTCCTCGACACTTGACTTTCTAGGGTTCAGTTTGGTGCGCAATATTCCAGGGGGGGTGACAAACATCGTTCCTCACCGTGCTGTAACGTTTTTCACCGTGTTAAAGGTATTGTCATGACCTGCCCTCATTATCAATTCAGAACTGCGGGTCCAGCTTGCATCAGCATTTGCAGCAGTCCCCATGCGGCGCGAACCTGAGAGCCCCCTTTCTCAGGTGGCTGAAGTTCAGGTCGACTCCGAAAGAGAGCAGGAGGGAATTGCGTGTTCAATCGAAGGGTTGAGAAAAGGGTAAATCTCCTCGTGAGTTCCAATGGCTAAAAAACGAATTCTCCTAGTTTGCTTCGGGTTTTGTTTGTCAGACTCGGATGTGTTCAACAGACTAAATCGCAGATTGAGCATGAGATGGAACCTACGTAAGTGCATAATTTAATTGAGAAGAAGAAATCGTCGCTGTCCTTGCACTGACAATGCGTCCATTCAACGCACCATGCCGCCAATCTTATGTTACCACCTCCGTGTATATGGCCATCGAGAAAATACGGCCATTTTCAGGTGCATGCCGCACAGCCTAGGAACGCTATTCAAGTGCATGCCAGGTGATAGGGCAGGTGCGTACAGTCGTTTCAGGTTAAACAATTATTCCCGTAATTTCATACGCTTTCCAAGATTCGATTCGAATTGGCACAATAGGTCTAAATTATATGCAATTTCGGACTACGCGCAAATCGGAATCGGATCGATTGGCTCTCAATGCTGCATTTTCTGACGTCACTCAGTGGAATGATTGCATTTTTGCCCAATTTCTACGCATGTTTCCGATTCGCAACAATGTTTTTATTCACGAATCCTAATGCTAGATCTGTTGTACTGTTGACGCAGGTGACGAGACGGGCAAATCAGCAAACCCTTTTTTGGGTGTGCACAAATTAGAAAAGGAAAATATGCCCGAGGTTTTTTAAATTTGTCCCTACCAGAATATTTTTCCGTACATGTACATTGTAATAGGTGGAATTCCATGCCGTTAATTACGTGCCAACAACTACATATGTACCGTACCGTATATTCTTAATAGCGGTAGGGGCAACTCTTCTAACACTTGGGCAGATTTCTCGTGTTTCAAATTACCCTTTCCAACTTGTGCACGTCCCATTAGGGTTTGTTGATTTGACCCGCGAAACGTCCGCCACCTGCGCCAACAGTACAAACGATTCAGCATTAGAATTCGTTGAAAAACAGTTGGTACGAAGCAGAAATTTCCGTAAATTCGGCGAAAAATGAAATCATTACATTGAGTGACGTCAGAAATTCAGCTTCGGGAGCCAACCAGTTTCGATTCCGATTTGCGTTTACCGAAATTGCATCTGTTTCATACCGTTTGTGCTAATTCGAATCGAATATTCGAATTCGTGTGAAATTACAAGAGACTTTTCATAACCTGAGACAACTGTACGAACCTGGCATGCACCTGAGAAGCTTTCCTAGGCTAAGCGGCATGCACCTGAAAATGGCCGGAGAAAATAAGTGGGTCATCTCTCGGTCTCCCGTGAAATGCGGAAATGCGAATTTGCCACGAGCAGACCCGGCAATCTAGTCCTGCCTACGTGTCACATTCCTTCAATCTGTAATTTCCCTCCCCAAACCAGTGGAGGTGACCTGACCTGACCTGAGTTCTTCCTGGTTTCGGTTCGGTGGTGTGCTGCAGACCAGCCCTTGAATTGGCGGACCCATCATCAATCAGCTCCGAGGATTCCGTTTCCGCCGCATGCCCGAAATTGTCAATCCCGATGAATACCCACCACCCACTACCCCTCGATGCTCCCCCTTACCAAACCACAACACCGCACGAGGCGGAAAAAGATTCCGCCGATGTGGCTGAGTTCGTGAAATTCCCGCGCTACCTGCACCATGTCCGCACCTGCTCCCCGCATGAGCCATCACCAAGAAGTGCACAAAATTCCCATCAGCTGATATTGCCAGAGGTAGGCGCACATTAGCGCATTTGTCGCTGGAGCAAAACCAGCCCCATTGCCGCCTCACGAGGTTAGCCTCCTCTACAGCACAGCCTCATTATCAACTTACAAGCTAAGGCATCGCTGCAGGTTTTGAGAGGGTCAGGCAAAGTTCCTCTTTCCTGTCATCATTGCCTGCCGCATTTCCGCGAATTCCTACCGAATCTGGACCCAGCGATCCTCAGCACACGTGAACTTATCAACTGCCATTGACGTGTACAAAGCACGTGAATTCTCGTTAGTATCCCATTGCGCGCTTATGACAAGAAGATTGGGTGAAGCTCACTCCGCTGACGCGAAGTGCCGCCGTGTTGCACGCCACTGACCGCGGCGAGCGACTGCGTTCTGCCACCGCCACGGAGACCTGACCGTTGAAAGCTCTGCAAGAGAGGGCACTGATAGCACAAAGGACAACGCTTATCCATTACTATCCGTACCGCCAATGGCGTGCCATACATTTTCAGTCCCGACCGCATTCGGAAAATAAAAATCCTCCTACATTACCCAAATTTATCTTCGTTGTCTACAATATAGCTGAGATCCGCATCTCTATAACTTAAAACTCGGATCGATACATTCCATGGACGTGTTCGAGATCGAGTCGGAGTCCGCTAAGGCGCGCGACGCTGCCGCCGCCGCGTCCGCTGCGTCGGCGGAAGCCGCCGCGGCGGTGGAGCGCGTGGAGGTGGTGGAGGCGGGCGACGCGACGCCGGCTGCCGGACTGCACGACCACTTCAAGCCGCTCAAGCAGTTGCCTGAGCAGCAGCGCCAGCAGGAGCTCCGAAAAGACATCCACTTCGTGAGTGCGGGCAAAGGGGAAACGGGGGGGAAGGAAGGGGTGGGGAGGGGGAAACGGGGGAAGTGGGAACGGGTGCTGGGGTAATTATGCCGGAAATCCGGGTCGCGCCGGAAGGTGTCGGAAACATGGCGAAAAGATTGCGGAAATCTGAGGGGGAGAAATTGGGAGGCGAGGAATCGAGATAGCAACGAGGCACGAGGTAACGGTGATAAATTTGGAACGTTCAGAACCTGGTCAGAATGAGGTGGGGTGTTGGTAGGGGGAATGTGAGAGGGCGGGAGCTGGAAGTGCGTGGAGCGAGAGCGTTGATGTTTTCCGAGGCGAGTACACAAGTCGTTCTCGTCGTTAGTTGCTGGTAAGCCGCTCGTAACCCGCCGGTAGCTCTCCATTGTTGATATGTAACAGTATCGCGGTGCGCCAATTTGTCAGATTCCTTTGGTAAACCTATGGATCTGGCCTCGTTGCGCTGTCAAATGTTTCCGCGACCGTTGAGTGTGCAAAGAAAGAAGCTGGCTGGGTGGCAGAGATGTAAGCAGAGGTGGGGCTATAATGTATAGCTTGGTGAGAGCTCGACGGGAGGTCGCGAGAAGGTCTCGGGAAGGTCGCGGGGATGTCGCGGGGAGGGCGCGAGTAGCGGGGGTGTCAAACAGTGTATGCCGCGCAGGGGGAACCGTACCCCGCGCAGGGGGGAGCGCATTGCGCGCAGGGTAAAGCACTCGGGATTTTTTTTTCAAGATCTGGGCAACGAAGAGTGGGAGTGGCGGTGTGATGGGAGGGGACGCCAATGAAATTCTCATCGCGTGCGTGCGCGCGTGCGCGGGTGCGTGTGTTGGCGCTTGTTTGCTTGCGCCCAACCCTCTCACACCCATCCCCACGCGTGCGCTTACGTGTTCGTTTGTGTCTGCGTGTGTGCGTGTGTGCGTGTGTGTGCGTGTGTGTGTGGGTGTGTGCGAGTGTGGGCGTACAGGTGGAGCACACATGGCCGGTGCATCAACTCTGCCTGCACTTCCGCACCAACGCCACCAAGGTACGCTCCTCCTCGCCTATCCATCCATGCCGTGCCCTGCCATGCCGTAAAAAAACGACCAGCCGATACCTTCACCTTTACCCTCGAACGACCTCCCTCCCTCCCTCCCTCCCTCCCTCCCTCCCCCAACTCTCCCTTCCCTCTCCCCGTCCCCCACCACCCCCCCCCCCCCGCGCGCCCCACCCGCGCCCCTCTCCCCCACGGCGCCGTCCCCACAGGGTCTGACGGACACGCAGGTGCAGCGGAACCGCACGCGGTACGGCGAGAACAAGCTGACGCCGGGGTACGTGACGCCGTGGTGGCTCAAGTACCTGCAGCAGTACACCAACTTCTTCTCGCTGCTCCTCATCGCCGCCGCCGCGCTCTGCTTCATCGCCTACGCCATCGACGAGAATGACGTCAAGGAAAACGTACGTTCGCGCTCGCCTTTGCGCCCACGCCCGCGCGCGCGCGCTCTCTCACTCATTCTTGCCCGCCCGCCTGCACCCCCCCTTTCCCTCCCTTCCCCCCCGCCCCCCCGCCCCCTCCCCCAAACACCCCAATTGCTCTTCGTTCTGCTGCTGCTCCTCTTCCTCCTCTTGTTCCTCCATCTCCTCGTCGCTCTGACCGCCCTTTGCTCGCTTCTCACGTTCCTCCTCCTCTCCACCCGTGGAGAAACCGCTTCTCTCTTTTAACCTCATTCGAACGCACCTTCCCCTCCCCTTTCCCCTCCTCTTCCCCCTCCCCATCCCCGTCTATCCCCCCCGGGCAGCTA